TATATATATATATATATATATATATATCCTTTAATATAATATTTGAGAGTTGATAGCTTAAAATTTTGACATGTGTCACTTGCAGAATTTTATTATAATTACACATCAGCCTTCCACGCGTCATTTGGAGAGCCGTTCAACCTTTTTCATTCACCGACCAAAAATTTGAGAAAGTTTCCTTTCGTTCCAGGCAAATCGGCAAAGAAGCAGGAAAATCACGGATCTATTGCGTTCAAAACAGAAGCTTCCTTCTTCGTGCCATCCCAGATCTATTGCAACTTTCCTTTCTTCGCAACAGGAAAATCGCCGAAGAAGGAACCCCAGGAATATCGCTTCCAAAACAGAAGCTTCCTTCTTCGTCCCAGATCTATCGCGTACAAAACAGGTATCTTTCTTCCATCTTCACTAAGGAAAGACTCGAAATTACCACTGATTCGAAATATTATTCTTTTTTTTGTATTTATGTATAATCGATTAATCAAACTGAATTCGGGATTGATATTAGGTTTCTTTCCAAAACATTATTTTATTTTTTCATCTTTGCAAAAAAAAAACTCAAATCATACGGAGGGATTTAGTGAGTTAACAAATTAGATTTTTGCCTTAAAAAAATACGATTTTTTTATTTTTCAATTCCAAAAAAAAGCTACACATATATATAAAGGAGTTCTTATGGGTTTATTCTTCATGGTTCATAATACGCTCACTATAAATAATTTTTCATTGTTAAAACATCAACCACAGCCCTGTTTTTTTCCTATTGAAATTTATTTCCTTATTCCTCCATAACACATTTTTAAAAAAGANAAAAAAAAACTCAAATCATACGGAGGGATTTAGTGAGTTAACAAATTAGATTTTTGCCTTAAAAAAATACGATTTTTTTATTTTTCAATTCCAAAAAAAAGCTACACATATATATAAAGGAGTTCTTATGGGTTTATTCTTCATGGTTCATAATACGCTCACTATAAATAATTTTTCATTGTTAAAACATCAACCACAGCCCTGTTTTTTTCCTATTGAAATTTATTTCCTTATTCCTCCATAACACATTTTTAAAAAAGATGACTATCCATCCTTTGTCCAAAATCAATCTAACAAGTGAGTGCTGGACAATCATGGTTGGTGTCGTGAGACTATATACTTTGCCTGTATATAGTGATGACAAATTCTATTGAGATGGTGTTTATGGACGAACATGTAAGTCAATGAAACATTTATAATTTTGCATATGATTTTTCTTATGTGTATATGATTTATTCAGTTCATAGAAAAAAATTAGGCCTCTTTCTGTGTGAAACCTTAAATATGGTTCATGCCAAAACCAACCGTAAGTGACAAAGGATGAACTTTTTTTATAAACATTTTTATCTCTTTGTATTGATGTTCTTTAAATAAATAGTGTTTGATGAGATTGATCCAAATGCTTTGAATGCATCAATTACTTGCAAAAACTGTAAAAAATTAAAGTGTATGATGTGTTTGATTCTTTGACAACTTTTTTTAGTTATTTGTAATCATGTTTCAAAAAACATATAGTGTCTGGTGTTATTAAAAATATTGAGTTTTTGATGTGTTTGAACTATTGGATCTAAAGTCTTTGAGATTAGAGATAAGTAACCAATGTTTGATTAGTTTTTGAAAAAAAAGATCTTAAGGGCCTGTGAAACAGAATTGAAATCTGGACTGTTGAACGTAGAGTGTTTGCCAGTGTTTTAATGCTTTGTATTCAAAACATATAGTGTCTGGTGTTATTAAAAATATTGAGTTTTTGATGTGTTTGAACTGTTGGATCTAAAGTCTTTGAGATTAGAGATAAGTTTGATTAGTTTTTGAAAAAAAGATCTTAAGGGCCTGTGAAACAGAATTGAATTCTGGACTGTTGAACGTAGAGTGTTTGCCAGTGTTTTAATGCTTTGTATTTAAGATAGTAATTCAAAGTTTTTTTAATTTTGAGACTGTTGAACATAAAGTACGCATCCGGGTTTTTAGTCTATCAATTAGAATGACTGACAGATGCTTTAGTATGTTGGATTTAATATGCTTTATGCTATAAAACACTGGCAATGAACCGGGATGAAGTTAGACATTCATGTTCTTAACATACATACTGTGATTTTGCAAGAAGCTTATTTACTTCAGAAGCTTATTTTTTGCTAGACATAATACCAACATACTGTGAGTATTTATTGACTGAAGCTTATTGACTGTATGTATTTATTGCGATACAACAAAAACTGTGAAGTCCAGCTGGGAAGTCCACCAAATAAAACTTGCATCTAAATAAAATATGTGTCTTATTGCGATACACGTATTTCTGTGCGATACATTCTGTGAGTATTTATTGACTAAAGCTTAATGACTTTAGGGTTTGCTAGACATTCATGTTCTTGACATACATACTGTACTTTTCTTGACTTCAGAAGCTTTTTTTTTTTTTGTGGATTTTGTGATACTCACCTTATCTTTTGTCTGCAACCAAACACTAGAGGCATCTGAAAATAACTCTTTTTTAGGATTTGCATTTAGCATTCTGTTCCCCTGTTATTTCTTTGCTCAACTTTTTAAAGTTCTTGCCATTTTTATCTCTTGAGCTATGAATGACAGATTTTTCACCTCTCATTAGCATCAATGAATTGTCAAACAAAATTGTTATGAATGTAAAAGGGATGGGTAATGACTGGGGTTTGTCGGTGTTTTGATGCTTTGCCATTGTTATTAAAAAGAATATTACCTGAGGTTTGCCAATGTCTTGATGCGTTGCATTTAGCCATGTGCTCCCCCATTGTTCCTTTCTTCAACTTTTTAAAGTTCTTTCCCTTTTAATCTCTGAAACTATTGTTTTTTAAAATTACTGATATTTTCCATCCACATTTGTGAAGGGGAGTACTATCAATGCAACAGTCTGGAAAAGTTTGGTTGGAACTTTTGAGAGACGAATCCCAGATGTCTTCAATCGACTTTTGATAGATAAAACATATCTCTTCAAGGTGGAGGTCAGGCGTGCACACTTCAACGATTTTGATCCATCCTATAATGTGATGGACATTTGTTTCAATGAACACACCATCTCTAAATTCAAAGAAAGAAATACTACTTTATTTTCAGTCCAGGTTTGATAAGATACATTTTAATCGTAAATTTGGATTTATAGATAGTTGAATGAAGCATAGTCACCTGTGCCTTATACCTTCCATTATATCCAATATTTCATAATTTAACTTTGTGATAA